GCTATGGTTATAACTCATAGCAGTATTAAATTCACCCTATATGTTATCAAACAAAAATCAGATTTTATTGGACTAGCTGATTTAGATGTTGATGGAGGTTTTTGCATCAAGGCTTGGCCGTATGAATAAGAAATGTATGCATTCATTTCTTACTAGAGGAAAGCTTCTTGATTTAAAATCAATAAATTAAAAATTTTGTGAAGACTGTGTATATGGCAAGCAACATAGGGTGAGTTTTTCAAATACTGATTCAAAGGTTAAGTCAAAGAATTTGGAGTTAGTGCATATTGATGTACGAGGTCTTGCTCTAGTTACTTCTATAGTAGGATCTTTGTATTTTGTCATATTTATTAATGACCACAGTAGAAATGTATGGGTATACTTTTAAAACATAAGTGAGATGTTTTCAAAAAGTTGAAGGCCATGATTAAGAATTAGATAAATTTGAAATCAAGTGTCTTAGATTAAATAATGGTGGTGAGTATCTTGATAAGAAGTTCAAGTAGTATTGTGCTTTGAATGAGATTAAACATGAGTTCACTGTTTCAAATAAATCATAGTAGACTGGTGTTACAGAGCACATGAATAGAACTATAATTAAACATGCCAGGAGCATGAGGTTACATGTTGGTCTACCCAAGCAGTTATGGATAGAGACAGTGAATACTACAATTTATCTGATCAATCGCTGTCTTTCAGTTCCTCTGAATTAGAGGTAACCTGAGAAAGCCTGGAGTGGAAATGAGATAAGTTTATCTCACCTTAAAGTTTTTGGTTGTTCATCTTATATTTATATTGATGCAAGATCTAAGAATAAACTTGATTCAAAATCTATGAAGTGTACATTTGTTGGATATAACTCTGATTAATTTGGCTACAAATTCTAAGATTATTACAATTAGGAATTCATCAGAAGTAGGGATATCAAATTCAATGAAAATAAAATATAAGAATAGAAATGAGACTCTTGAAGATTCTTTCAAATATGTTGAGATAGATGATGTTGATGATGATCATCATTAAGAAGCAAAAGATGATAAAGCACAGAGAGTACCTCAGACTCCTGCTACTGAAATTAGGAGATCCACTAGAATCTCAAGATCAATACAAATGTATTCTCCTTCCTTATACTATATATTGCTGACATATATTGGTGAATCAGAGTGCTATGATGAGGCCATTCAAGTTGATGATTCAAAGAAGTGAGAGCAAGCCATGGATGATGAGATATGTTTACTTGAGTTGAATCAGACTTGGGATTTGACTGAGCTACAAAATGGCAAAAGAGCATTGCAGAATAAGTGAGTTTATAGTCTAAAAGAAGAATCTGATGGTAGCAAGCGCTACAAGGCCAGACTTTTAGTTAAATGTTTTCAGTAGAAGAAATGAGTGAACTTCATTGAAATTTTCTCTCCACTGGTGAAGATGACTATAATTAGAGTTGTATTGAGCATGATAGCAGTGGAGGATTTACATCTATAGCAGATTAATGTAAATATGACATTTCTTCATGGTAACCTTTATGAAGAGTTGTACATGGTGCAAACTCAGGGATATATGGTCAAATGTAATAAAGATATGATATGTAGGCTCAGGAAGAGCTTATATGGGTTGAAGTAGGCATCAAAGCAGTGGTATAGGATATTTGATAAGTTTATGTCAGATAATGGGTACAAGAAGTGTCAGGTAGATCATTGTTATTTTTCAAACAAGTTAATAACTATTGTATTCTGCTTTTATATGTGGATGACATGCTGATTGTAGGGTCAGATACGAAGAAGATAAAATATTTAAATGAATTGTTATCAAAGGAGTTTGAAATGAAAGATCTGTATCCAACAAAAAAAAATCTTGATATGAGAATCACTAGGGATAGAAGTGGAGATATATCAAAGTTGTCTCAGGCAGAATATGTTGAAAAGGTGCTTCAAAGATTCAACATGAGAGATGCAAAGTTAGTTTGCACTCCCTTGGGTAGTCATTTTCAACTATTCAAGCAACAATCGCCTAGATCTAAAGCAGAGCAAGAATTAATGGGGAGTTCATACGCTTCAGCAGTTGGAAGTTTAATGTATGCTATGATCTGTCTGAGATATGATATAAGATATGCAATGGGAGTAGCCAACAAATTTATGAGTAACCCATACAAACTCTATTAGGAGGCGGTTAAGTGGATTCTCAGGTACTTTAGAGAATCAGTTGACAAAGCTCTTTGCTTTTGATGTGCATGGAGTGATCTACAGGGATATATAGATTCTGATTTTGATGGTAGGAGCACAACATGTTATATCTTCACTTTGGGAAATACTGCAGTGAGTTGGATTTTCAAGTTATTGAAGATTATTGTGCTCTCAACCACAGAAGCTGAGCATATTGATATCACCGAGTCTAGCAAACAGATGATTTGGTTGCAAAATTTATTGACAGAACTCGGCAAGGGGCAAAGAAATGAGAAGTTGTATAGTGACAACATGAGTGCTATTCATCTAGCCAAGAATGCTGCATTCCATGCCAGAACGAAGCACATCCATCTTTGTTATCATTTCATCAGGTTACTTTTGGAAGATGATCAATTATCTTTGGAGAAGATACACATGATCGAAAATTTTATATACATGCTAACGAAGACGTTAACAGTTGATAAAGTAAAGCTATGTGTAGCTTCAGTTGGTTTATATGGAGGATGAGAGCAAGGGTGAGTGATGGGGACATCGGAGCTTGGAAAGTCTATCAGAGATGTGGCCTTCGATTTACTGCCACGATTGAGTCTATGTACTTCTGAGTCATATTATGTATTTGTCTTTTATTATTTTATGTTGTATTTGTTTTATTAGTTTTTCTGCTTTTACCCCTTACTTAAGGGAGGTCATCTGTAAGCCTAGAGGGCATTGTAGTCTTTTTATTTTGAGTCATTTGTACGAGGCTATATATAGCCATCTTGTTTTCTTTTCATGCTAATGAATGAATGAATGATTAAAAAAATTTCCATTGTTTGAGTTCTTTGTGAGATCTTGAGAGTGCATGGGAGAGAAACCCCTAGGAGAGGGAAATCGGATCACCCACCAACCTTGGAGACGATCGAGTTCGTGGTTCTTCTTCACTATCTCTTTGTTCCCCTTCCTTCATCCCCTAGTTGCCGGCCTAAGGCCATCCCAACCCCTAAGCCGCCGGTCACTTAAATTCCCCACCACCACCCGCCGCCTAGACCCAATCCCACCCCCATCCATGGCCAACCTCCACCGCCAGCCCACCCCTTGGCTTTTCCCCCATCTCCACTAGCCGCCAAGTCTTTCCTAAATTAGATTTCATAATTTTGGTAACTCTATTAATGATCAAATTTAAATCAATTTGAATTTGAAATAGTTACCTTATTTATAACTTATTTTAGGAAAATTACTAAATCAACTCCTATTTAAATTTTGAATTAAGATGGGATGTGATCTTTCTTTCCAAACTTAATTTAATAATTTAAGTAAGCATTGAATGCCTCAGTAAACCCCTCACTCACTCTATAATTTGGCCTAAACGTAGTGACCGCACTTTCGTTTTTCTTTTCGTTTAAATAGCTAATAGTCTTAATTGTTCTTGTTCTTTTGAAAATCGTGCAATTTCTTAATGCATTCATTTAAAAGCATTGTAGTCCTGCATCAGTGAGCCGCACCACACCACCCTGGTTGGGCCTGAATTTTTTTTCTTCTTCCATACAACTCCTCGGCATTGTGTACCCAAGTTCCTTCGATGCTATGTTCTTAAGCACCTTGGTGCTGTAAATTTTGCTGGGAGAAGAAACAGAGAGTGGAGCGTCGTAGAGCTCTAGATTCGGCATTGTAGCGCTGCGGATTTGAGTGCCACATCATCATGTTGGCAGAGACTTGAGTGCCACAACGCTCCAAATTGGCGGGCTAGATAGATTTTCTTTCTCGTTTTTTTCAAGGGTGGCGTCCCTTGGTGTTATTAACTAGTTTTTTATTTTTATTTTTGAGTGTGAGAACGGTGTAAAAGAGAAGAGAAGCAAGGAGAGCGAGAAAGAAGAGAAATATATACTTATTTCTCCTCATTTTCATAATGGATTTCTTGGGGTGGTGTGGTGCGGCTTCGTGGTTTTTTTCTCAATTTTGGATTTTTTCACGTTAAATCCTTATGTCATTTTTATTTTTCTTCTTTGTTTCGTCGCGTGGTTTTACTTCCATCCCCAACATCTCCTACTTTATCCTGTGGAGTCCAATGCTTGACAATTCGCTTCTTCATTTATTTATTTCATCTTCATCTTTCATAAATATTTTTTATCAATATAAAGATTAGTGTGATACTCCAAACTTTTTAAAGGATGCGGTGGTGGTGTGCGACTTTCAATTGATCTCTGATGGCGGCTACGACAGTGGTGGTTGCGGCGAAGGCGGCAGGTCTAGAGAAAGTTGTTGCGGTTTTGGGGTGCATGAATGCATGATTGATTCGTGGCTTTAGTTTAGGATATAAGTAAGTTTTAATATATATATATAGGGTGAAGTGTATGCCTCACACTAGCAAGGCGAGGCACACTTCAAGGTTGGTCTCAACCAAGCTGAGGTGCAAGTCTCATAAAAAAGCTTGAGGCGCAAGCCTCAAGGCCTTTTTTATATTGAATTGCGGTGAGGCGGGCCTCAATTTGAGCCTCATATTGCGTAATTTTAAACAATTGTTATTTCAACTGTTCACTAAGGTCTCATTGGTTGTTTCTAGATTAAAAACATTTTTTTGACAAATGACTATGTCATTTTCACTCATTTTTCGCACGAAAATGAAATCATTACATTTGAAGGGATTTTTAGGAGTATTTTCAGAAGATATTGATTTCTATTCAACCAAATGATGAAATCTTACAAATTTCATTACTTTCAAAACCTTTTTTCTGACTTAAAGTACCACATAAGCCCCAATTTACATTGTTTTTGTATGTCAATGCACTATCAGTATTGAAACCTGTTTCTCTTATCTTATATTTTATGTTGTCGGATTTGCAGCCTAATTCAACTACCAGAGAACCCTTTTGCTTCTCCCAGATTTTGATCTGACAACCTTTACAAGTCTTATAGAGAAAGCCTACAACAAAGAACTTTATACAGCTACAGTTCTCTGATACAAATAACAGAAGTTCCAAAAGTTGAAAGGAAGTTTGATACAGAAACTTGCAAATCAGACAATATACGTAACAGTATTATCACAGAGCTAAACTCTTGTGATGCTTAGAAGAGTAGACTTTTTATTATATTTGTTTGGCTATTTACAAATTACTGGACCTAAAGTTTTTTGTAGCTTACTTGCATATATCAGCAACTAGTTCTGAGAAGAAATCATACAATACTGAATCTAATTTTATTGATGATGCGGGCTATAATCTTTCATGTCATTTTAAGCTTCGTTTGAGACAGCTTTCCTACTGCTTTTTAAAACAATTTTTTAGTATAAAAATTTTAATTTTTAAACTAAAAAACTGTTCCAAATGAAGCCTTAATCATTTTATTGAAAGCTGAATGCTTGATTTTAATTCTCTTTGATCATTTTGGTTATAGCTGATATTATTAAATTCTAATCAAAAGAGGTCAATCATACAACTCAGTTTGGTTTGTAGGTTGGGAACTTTTATTATCAACTAAGAGGTATTGAATTCGAGTCTTGTGTATATATTATGTGTGAGTTTGTCTTAATTGATCTACATGTCTGCCAACAAAAAGGTCAATCATAATCTCTACTTAGTTATTATGCAACCTTTCGATCATGATCGGACATCCCATAATAAAGAAGGGCAATTATTTTCAAGCTGAATTGGGTACTTATTTTCTTCTTTTATTTTAATGAACAAATGTTTTATGGTGCTGAATGTTGGCCGTTAAAAGAGAAGATAGAAGAATAATATTAAGTTAAGTGTTGCAGAGATGAATGCTCAGGTGGATGAGTGGCTTTACCCTTAGAGATGGATACAAAATGAGCATATATGTGAAAAGGTTGATGTATCTCCAATGGAAGATAAGATTAGAGAGTCGTCTTAGATTGTTTGGTCACATAAAACGACGGCCTTTTGATGACCCGGTTAGAAAAGTAGATGTATTAGATTTGACTTATGTTAAGAAAAGTAGATGTAGACCTAAAAAGATTTGGTTAGAAAATATTAAAAAAGATCTTTCTTTATTATATTTAAACGAAATTTTTACTTTTAACAGTTCACAATTGAGAAAAAAGATTTATGTAGTGATTTCATGTAGTGGGACAAATGCTCGATGTTGTTGTTGTTTTAATGAACATATGTTATAGCAATTATTTTGAATAAAATTTATGATGGAAAATATTTTATGGCATTTGTATATTCTATATTGCTTGATGATCATGAGAAAAACATTAGAGGAGACATATTTATAGAATAAATTAACTGTTTCAAAGTGAATAATTTTATTTATTTTATATGACTAAAAATTAAAAAAAACTATTTTTTTTTTTTAAAGTGAGAAGCTTATTTTATTTTATATTGATAAGTTAAATTACATTTCCTAATTAATTACTCCTGAAATTTAGTTGTTTTAACCTTTAAATAGACTTAATGAAATGGGAACTCCAACCTTTTCTAAATTTCCCCATATTTTTTCTTTCTTTAGTATGGGTTTTTCCTTAGAAGTAGAGTGAAAGGCCATCAAACGGTCAAAATCTCACAATGTCAATTTTCTTATAAAAATTTTGACTCAACATTTTAATTAAATAAATCTTAAAATCGATACATTATTTAAACATAAGTGTAATATAATTAATTATATATATATTTAAATAAATTTAAAGATAAATAAAATAAAGTGGATTTACATAAATATTACAAAATTTTTATCTATTTATATAGCTAATATCTAAATTTTTATATTTATTTATATATCATTCAATTGTCTAAATCACATCAAAAAATATATATTAATAATATTTTTAATGAAATTTAGTAATTTGAGGATTTTATAAATATAAATATTTGTGGGTTAGATATAAATAAATGCGCATTTTTATGTATTATGGAGTCGAGCACAAAAAATGAACTTTTTGATAGCCCATTTAATAGACTTTAATTTACTTAATTTAAGAAAATAAATGTTGAGCGTGAAAAGCATTAAGTTTTTTAAATTATTTTTTTTAAAAATATAATATGAATTTAATTAATTATTTTTATATAACACTAATTCTAAAATAAATTAAATATCTATGAAAATTATTCTAATGATTTGTGATTAGGATACTTAATATTTTTTATTACAAATTATTATTATTATTTTGAAAAATGAGGGAAAGTCAGCATTTCAAGAGGTCGTATTTCCCGTTAGAATTCAATGGCTAAACCCTAAAAAATAGCCGATTGAAGGGGTAATCCCCTCTTTTCCAACGACGATCCGATGAAAGCCGCGACGATCTCGACGTTCACGTCAACATCGATTTTCCCAAACCGTGGATGGGGGAGAAAATTTCCTCATTTTAGGTTTTTTTTCCTAAGTAAGTTTCGGAATTCTAAAGTAAGATCAGTTTATATTTTGAGGAATCCAGTCTGTCCTTTCACATGGTAAAAGTAAATACATAAATGCTGTAATTTATTTGATTTTCTTTAGGAGTCTCGCTTTCTCAGCCAAACTGTCAATGGGCTGCATTGGTGGTGGTAAGATTAGTTTTTTTCTTTTCCTTATTTTTTGAGATTCGATTTAATGCTTGCTGGCATTTGAATTGTTTTGGTTTGGGTGCGTGATTACAAATTTTTTGTGGTTTAAAAGGTTTTGTTTCATTTGATTTTGCTTGTGAAGGTGCTAATTGATATCATTTTGTTTGAATACTTCTTTTCTTTTTTTTTTGGTTGTGAGAATGTTGTTCAGTGATTTTCTCTCTTGACATTTTAATTTCTTCTATTTTTTCGGATGGAAATGATGTCGTTGGTGTTGGTATCAGTCTTGTTTTCTTCATTTTTAATTTCTTGTCAGCAATTTTTGAACTTTATGACTTTTTTCCCTTTCCTTCTTCTTGTTGAGGTTCCAATCAATTTTATTGCTTCGTTTTCAGAAATGCTTTATCTGTTGTTCTTATGGTAATGGGGGTTCTCCATTGGGAATACGATGATGCCATATAGATCTTCCACTTGTGCTTCAAGAGCCTCCAAAGAGTTGCATTGCTTGGTTTCAGAAATTCTGCTTCTGTTCATTTTTATTCAATTTAGGTTTCGTTTGGGACGGCTTTTTTACTGCTTTTTAAAGCGACTTTTCAGATCAAAAATTAAAATTTTAATACTAGAAAGCTGCTTTAAGGAGTAAGAAAGCCGTCCCAAACGAAGCCTGGCTTTTACAATAGAAATAATGACAATGTTATATCAATCTCTTTGAAACTCATAATTTTCCATTGCCTTTTTTAGCATTGTTTGTTAGTCTTACAACCACTTTCTTGTTTGCAATGGCAGAGACAAAACCCAACAGAATGAATTTCGCAGAGCTAACAAAAATTGTCCTTGAACGAATACAAATTATTGAACAAGACAATTTCAGAAAAATTGTAGGATTTATTTTGTTTAATGAGCCAAGTGAAATTGAGATGTTACAGCTAGCCTTTTGCTCTGAAAATGCATTACTCTTCAGAATTGATGAAGTCAAAAAAATGCTTAGAAATTTATACCCAAAGAATGTTTCAGGTTCTTCTGAACGCCAATTTGGTTCATTTCTGCAGGGTTCACGCTCATTCTCATTCCCTTCTGTATTTAATATCCCTGCGGAATATTGGGATCAGCGGATTTCTTCTGATAAGTTCCCTTATGGTAAAAACATAGATTTTGCTCCTCGAACTTATCCTGTTTCAACAGAAGAAAACTATTTCCTTTCTAATCAAAACCAGTTATTTAATTTGGATGAGAATTTCTGTTCCCAAGATGCTTCATTGGATGGAAGCAGTCCCTTAAGAACAAGTAAGAGATCTCCAAGTCTTCCTGAATTTCCTCTGAAGCCATGTCATTACTACTACAAGGGATATTGCAAACACGGAGAGAACTGTCGATATTTTCATGGGGGGCCGTCCTTCCCTGATGGTCATTTACAAGCTTTCGTTCCAAGTTTAAATGACTTGCAAAGTGAGGACCATGGCTTTTCTCCTGCTTCTCTTGAGAAGCTGGAAATAGAGATCATTGAACTCTTGAGAGCTCAGAGAGGACTGCCTGTTTCAATTGCCTCATTACCAATACTGTATTATGAGAAGTATGGCAAGTATCTTCAAGCCGAAGGGTATTTAACTGAGAGCCAAAGGCACGGGAAGGCTGGATTCAGCTTGACAAAACTACTTGCGCGTTTGAAGAACAAAATCAGACTGATAGATAGGTAATCTTTTCAGCACGAGAATGTTTTTGCTAGGGCTGCAAATGAACCAAACTTTCGACGAACTACTCGCCGCTCGGTTTGATTAAAACTTGTTTGTGATCGTTTAATTAACTAAACAAACAAACTTGAACAATATTTTAAATACTCGATCATTAAATAAACAAGCTTGAATACTAATATGTTCAGCACATTGTGAACAAGTTCGATATTAAGTTTGATAAAAGCTTTATTCATGTTCGATTCAGAACTCGTGAATAAGGTAGATAAAAAACTCAATTAATATTTGATTATTAAATTAATAAATATGCATAATATAAATATTTTATAATTATTATAGTATACTGATATAATTATTGTTAAATATTAAAATTTAAAGTAATTAAATCTTATAATATATGTTATTTAAAATAAAATTTACATATTTATTGAATTTTACTGAATAGGAAAGACAAAAGTAGCACCACAAACGCTGAATCATTCCCTCGTCATTTTGCCCTAGTTTAAAAAAATTTGCTAAATATGTTCACGAACATGCTCGATATAATTGTTTGTTAGGAGGCTTGATAAAGCTCGTTTTTTAAGTTAATGAACATCTAAAAATAGAGCTCGTTTATAGCTCGTTAAGGTTTGTTTGTTTGAAGCTCGGTAAGCACTAAACAAATCGAACATGAACTGAACATGAACCAAACATGAACAATGTTGATTTAAACGAACCAAACATGAACACAAACAATAAAGCTCGAATCAAACTCGAACCAAACTTGAACAAGCTGATAATAAATGAGCTCAAACACGAACACTCACATACTCGCCTTGGTTCCGTTCATTTGCAGCCCTAGTTTTTGCTCTTTAATGTACTTGTTGAGCTTTTATTTGTTTGCTATATGGTATGAAAAACAAGATTGATGCCTGGAATGTTTGGGCTTTATTTCAGCATTAGGCCCACAACCCAAAAAGAGTTAATGGGAAGCATACAAAATGAGGAATAAAATTTAGCTATTCAATTAATTACAATAAAATTAGTGCAAACAGATTGGTGAGTTAGTGCCATGAGATGGATTGATGAGGTGGCATGCAAGGAGAAGATTTAGTAATAATTCATGGTGGAAAATTTATGTTAATTGCATACATTGATCTCTCTCCTCAAATTGATGATGATTACTCAAGAAGCATCAATTTGTTTAGAAGAAATTGATGGCTTTATCAAATCATTACCTCTGTAAATATGGGATTTGAAGGTTTGTAGAGATGTGAGAAAGAGAAATTATATGAATATCTAATATTTTTCGAATTGCGTGACAATCAACTTCAATATATTTGATCCTCTCATGATACATTAAATTGGCAACTGTTTGGATGACACTGGTATTAGCAGCAGGTAGAAGAATGGTGGAATTTTTTGAGAAAATTTGAGTTCAGATATTAGTTAATGCAGCCAAATAATTTTGTAGACTTTACATGATATTCAAATTCCGTAGATGATTAAGACATGCGAGATTGTTTCTTACTCTTTCATGAGTTTAAAAAATATCCAAAATAATCTTCCAATGAATATCAATGAACCCGGCCCAATCACATCAGTATAGACCAAATGAAGATAAGAATCATGTGAAAAGAACAAACCACAATTTGGTCTTCCAATAAGATATTGAATAATTTGGTAAACATTAGCTTAATGTAAATGAGGAGAATTCTGCATGAAGCAACTTGGTGAATTGCAATTTGCAAAGGAAATATTGGGTGAAGTAATGGCTAGATAGTTTAGATTGTGGAGCAATTATCTATGTGGTGGGAATGTGGGATCAATTTAGACTGATCTAATATCATGACAAATAATAAGAAATAAGGTTTGATGCCTGAATTAATTGAATTTTATTCTAGAATTTAACCCATATTTATATAACCCTAGAAGAGTTAAGTATATAAAATTAAGAATTAAAATTTAGCTATACAATTAATTATAATAAGTTAGCATTGACATATTGGCATCTAAGAACACATAGGTCGATATGGTGGCATGCAATGAGCGGATCTCGCTATACTTCATGGAGGATAATATATATTAATTAATATCCCCCCCACCCCACAATTGATGTTGGTTGCTCAAGAAGTATCAATTTGCTTAAAAGAAGCTGATATCTCTATCTGGTCAATGCCTTTGTAAGTATGTCTATGATTTGAAGATTTTTAGAGATTTAAGGAATATAAATGATATGAGTATGGGATGTTTTTCAAATAGAATGAAAATCAATTTAGATTTGTTTGGTCCTCTCATGGTACACTGCATTGGCAGCAATTTGGATAACACTTCTATTGTCAGCATGTAGAAGAGTAAGATTTCTTGAGAAAAGTTAAGTTAATATAGAGTCTAGTAGCAAAAATAACTTTTGAACATGCTGCAAACATTGCATAATATTCTAACAATATATATGATTTCAATACACGAGGTTGTTTCTTATTCTTCCATTTGATCAAAGAATCACAAAAAAAAATATACACCATCTTACGACGGACCAATGAGCACCAGGGCAGTCGATCCTATCACATCACTATAGCACATCAAATGAAGATGACGGCTATGCAGAAAGGAAAAAAATCATGATTTTGCATTCCAATAAAATACAAATAATTCTATGAACGAAACCTAAATGCAATTGATGGGCAATTAAATTGAAATAACGATTTCAAACTTGTAAGATATAATGATAGTGATTGGGTTGGAGATATGGATGACAGAAAGAGCAACACTGGTCATGTTCTTCATGGGAGACACTTCTTTCAAATGAATGTCAAAAAAACAATCAATTGCCACCTTATCTACTTTTGAAGCAGAGTACGTAGCTACAACCTCATGTGTTTGCCATACAATTTGACTTTGAAACTTGTTAAAGGAATTAAGCTTATCAAAAGAAAAAATCAATGAAATTTATATTGATAACAAGTTTGCAATAGCACTGGAAAAATCCAATTTTTAATGATAGAAGCAAACACATTGATACACGCTATTACTACATCAGATAATCTTTCGCAAGTAAGTGCAAGTAGAGCATGTGAAGTCACAAGACCAAATTACTGATATCTTCACCAATATATTGTTGACTTGTATATGAACAAAAAAAAAATCAAAATAAATCATGTACCTTACCTCTCGATTGTCTGAAGTCGTGCTATGCACGAAGGCCGCACGTCGACACCGCACGTCTTTGCACGATCTTCATGATTTCTACGTGATATATGCATTGCTCAATGTCTTGGTCTCGTCATTAAAGCTTGAACGAAATGAGAGACGTTTGTTTTTTTCTTCTTCCATTACTGACCGAACTCCAAACCTATGAAACCTCCGACTCCACGCAATCGACCGACCTAGCTCCATTTACACTTATTGAATCCCTCTGCAAGCCAAACCAGTCGCATCAAGCTCTGATTCGAAGCCTTTTGTCTGCAATCCCTATGATCCCATTGATCCTCTATCTAACAAAGCCTTACATGGGGTCCTAGTTGGGTACCCATGCTTTACTCGGACAGGATTCGCCCACCCATGCCCACCCATGGTGACTTTTGGGATGTCGTACCCATCTATACCCACCCATTTTCAATGCTTTTTGAACGCAGTCTGCCACAGACTGATGGCCTTGAGGCTTGTTGCCCTTTGTTTTGATTGCAAACTTTAAAGCCGCATATCAAAATTTACCGTAGTCGTAGCGTGGTTAAGTGCTGCATACTACATAGTGATGATTGCAGTAATATAAGATATACTGTGATTAGCAATGTAAATTGATTTATCCCCCGATGTTGAGTATCCACTCACACCCACCCACAAGGTAATGAGCATACCCATACCCACCCATACCCAATTTGGGTGCATGGATGGGTGTGGGTATGGGTACCCAATGTAGGGCTCTGCTGTCTAACATGCAAACTCGAGCCAAGCCTTCTCATCCGACCACCACATCTCCACCTCGTTCGATGAAGTTCCCTTTTGTTGGATCAAAAGCCATGGCGAGAGCTTGCTTGTTGCGAAGGTAGCCATCTTTCTTCCTTTCACACTTCTTTAGCCAAATCCCATAAATCCGTTTAAATCCCATATTCAGTAAATCAAATCTGGGATTTACGGCCAAAAAAGGGAAACAAAAGATTTAACTGGTTGTGAGATTTAATAGTTCCCTATGCGGATTTATCATAAATCCTACTCAAATCCAACATAAATCTTGTATCCATACAACATGAATCTTGCTCAAATCCTCCATAAATTCTATTCTGATTATAGTTGATTATAGTTAATTATAATTATAGTTCATTATAACTAATTATAATAACTTATAATTAATATCTATTAATTATAATTAACTACAATTAATTATCATTTATGATAATTAATTAATTAATTATTATTCTTATTAATCATAATTAATTATAATTCATTATTATTAGCTATGATTAATTACAATTAATGATTAAAAAATAGGAAAGAAAAGAAAGAAATTTGTGCCTCATTCTATGTGCCCTCGACATCAGACCATCGTTGATCCCATGAAAGGTATAACATTTCGAACCCTCCAAATCCTATCGTCGGTGCTTTCAGCATGGCGAGTAATAACCCATACACGCTTTTCTTATCTCGGTGGGAGCGAACTCTTTGTGGTGCTTGCGACAAGGCAAATAGTCCTTGTACGTGCTTATTTTAGCATGGCGGGGCAAAATTTAAGTACTCGTGCATGTGCCTCAGTGCTTGCGAGAAAAGAAATTGTGCATTTTCAAACAGATATCCTTGAAGACCCATACATGCCTTTCTTTGCGAGGTGTGATTGAAGACTACGGTCGCGATGTCATACGACACCGATTGTGCATGTTTTTTTTGACGTGGCGGGAAGGCTATGACTTCTCAAATTTCCCCCAAACGGCCCCCAAACTGGGGATATGTTAGGGTGCTGCTAAACTTCTGAGTAAATGTACGAAGATTGAATGGACAACAAGGGACTTGGCTTGACCTAAATGATAGGGAATAAGAGTGATAAATTGAACAACATGGAACTAAATCCTAATTTCTAAAATGCACAATAAAATTAAGAATACAAATGCTAAATGATAATTCAAATCATTCAATTATGCATAAATATTAAGTAGGAGACTTGTGGTGAGAAGTTTTCAGACATGAATGTCTTGCAAGCAACGATAGTCAACTGCAAAGGATATAAGTACCTCCCATATGCAACAATAAAAGACCTGTTATGCCCAGTCTGTAGATTGATGATAGAAGACATGTCATGCACACAACAACTCACATAAAAACAACGGGCACTAAATGCAGCAATGCCTTGCAGTCGATATCAACAGATTGAATGCAACTAATGCTACTGAGTACGTTAGACTATCCATAAAAGATGATAGTAGACTCGACGCAGGTACAATGATCTCCCTACAAGCATTGCAACAGAAGTACATATAAGGGGGTTTATGATGCGATAGTTCACATGCAAGCGAGTACCAAAACCTGTTAGAAACATGAACACTTGCGAGCAGCCGTAAGAAGCCCCATCATGCTATAGTAGTCTTATTACTAGTGATGACAAACAACCTGTAGCAGAAGCCAAATCATTTATGTAGTTAATTGCCATTCAGTGATAGGCAAATGCATTAATCCCGTACAAGCAAGGATCTAGCAAATCAATGTACAATGCTATCGAATGACTACTTGCCGGCCAATATGCGTACAAAGAATCTGGAGATGGATGCAATGTTTGTAGTTAATGTCAATATGCAAAGGAACTTATAGAACCTACTTGTAGAGTGATGATGCCACATGCAGACATGCACAAGAAGTATGCAATAAACATCAGGGTGCCCATAAGAGCGACAACAATCAATCCCACAACGAATGCACTGGCATCTTATAAGCGATGAATGTTGATTTGCAGCAAATGCCAGATCACCCGTGCAATCACCTACCATTATATGCCAGGCAAAAACACTTATATCCTGCTAGTAGAAATGATTGATTTGCAATAGAGGCAAACACCTATGAGCCACTATAGAAGCCTCGCAATAAATGCTACATGCTACTTGTCAGGAAATACATAAAAGCTATAGCAAATACCAATGCCAATCAGTAGTGGTGATAGTCGATATGCTGCAGAGATGTTGAGTCCTTCATGAATATAGATATGCATGCAACATGGCATGTGCGAGCAGGGACTGAAGATCACATCAAATACATGAGGCTACATCAGGTGCAAGCATCTATGAGCTGAAAACCTTTTCAGTTAACAACTATAATGAGAAGAAACACACTAAATGTACATTGGATCTGAAGGTTTTGTCGAAAAAGTACAACAAGGCCATTCAATTGATAATTCCAAAAGACTTTGATATTGACAATTGGGTATAAAGGCAACTCGACGTGCGGAGGAAACTTGCTGATACACTATCAAAGGAAAACTCCAAATGTGTCACGAGGCATGCAAAGTTGAATGATTCTACAAAGTCAAAGAATGATCAGTTGAAGAAGTGTTTCATCTTATCATTTATGTAGAAATATCAAACACTTCCGGCAACCGCAAGTATCTGTAAGCTACTGCAAGAAACCTGTTGATCTACTACTAGCAGGAGGCCCTAACTGTGACACTAAGCATGCGAAGTTGAATGATTCTGTAAAATAAAAGAATGGCAGTTGATGAAAAAAATGTCTCATTCTATAATCTCTTCAAAAATAATAAGGCACCCGAAAATATGTCGTGATATTTGGGCGAAGATTTGGAGATCAAGCCTCGTAACTCGATGTCTTACGTGTGCATCACAAATACATAGAATGAGCCCCTTGAGTATACTATTCTGGAGCCGTAGAAGAAGCTTCTATGTACCATGTATATATCAGATATTAGAATGTCGCTGATATATCAGATGGTCTTGTACTATATTATATCCATGTTTCGTGGAGACTACCTTGTGATGAGTTGAAGACAAAGCAATCTAACAATTGCATTAGTCGAGCCTTTGATCTCATCAGTTTATGATACCTCATATATCACAAAACGGCCTCATATCGTTTGAATGTCCTTTCCCAATTTAAGCAAGGATCTGGTGACTTATGAATATGATCTTTAAGGATGAAAACGCAATCATAAAGAAGCTTATTGAACTAAGTGGTGTTCTTGTGACTTGTCAATGGAAGAAGAATGCAACTCATATCATTGCTGCTACGAATAAGGATGGAGCCTACATCAGAACAATAAAGTATCTCATGGCTACATCGGATGATAACGCTATGATTCACTTGTAAGTAAAAGCAGAGAATTTGTAATAAAAACTGCAAACCACAGGTGGACCGTAGTGCTAAACTTACAACGCCACATCATCGGATCCACAACATGAAAACTACTTCATCTCATAAAGAGCTAATGTCTAGTCGAGAATATCACTAGGATTCATTCTCAATCTGTCTCTTGCTAATAAGCACGTGTCACGTGCTCTAACTGATGGTTTTGCCGCCAAATGGCACCACACCGATGATTTTGCCGCTAAATGGCACCACAGGTAAATGTTTATGGCCGGGTGATTTTATCGCAAAATGACACCATTATATTATGGTTATGGTCAAAGCCCATATGTTCTCTAATGGCTTCAAATCATTGAATAATGAAGCAATAGGATGTAATTAATAGTGAACAAAGCCCTTTGTTAGCTAAGACGGATTCAAATTTGTCCCCTTAAACAAATATCCACCCCAGGTCTACAAGTTACCCTTGGACTAAGCAACCAATGATTGCCGACAAGGATCCTTCTGTTAGGTTGGGTTGACTATCTCCTCTGACTAAGTAGAACATGACCACGATGGCTCGAGACGACGAAACCATGTGATCTTGATCGGGCTCATCATCATTCCTCCACCATTTAAAGTAAGGTGGTAAATTTTCAATTTTAGATATTAAATTCTCACATACCAAACCTACTGCTACTATACACCAGATATTTCGTATCTATTTGACGACTAGCCTTAATCAAAAGTTCTCTCTCGTTATCGGGAGGGGTAATTAATTATAGGGGCTTGTGCCTATTGGAAACCAAAACTCAGATCATAGTCCTTGCAAAATGAGGGTGAAATCTCTAGGTAATGACTTATCTACAAACCCAATATGCCTTTTTGAAAATTTGCCTCGGAACTTAATCATTAAAACTCTCCTCAACGACCCAAAAAAGAAAGAAAGGAAGGGTGGTCTGCGAAGAGGCCGGGGCACAAGTTTTTGGAGCCCACATATTCTTAAATATGAAGATTTTATCAATATGAGAAATTTACTTGGAGTTACAAAACTAAGTTTAAAGAAGGGTGTTGGAAGTTAAACTTAATTTTGACTCATTGTTATTTGGGCTTTTGTTATCTAAATAGAACCTATACTCTAGAATAATCTTTTGAAGAAGATGCTAGAAATCTATTCTAGAATAATCCTTAGAAAAATCTAGAATAGCATTTAATGTCTTTTATAATATAAGATAGAATAATTTTCTAGAGAGTCATTCGTAACCATTGAATTAAAATATGTTGGCACAATTCTAACGGAGCACTACTAGTATAAATAGCGATGATGTTTTTGAGTTTATATTAAACAAAGTGAGAAATAAAATTAAGTAACCTCTTTCATTCCTCTCATTTTCTTCTTAGCCTAAGTAGCCTGTTCTATGTTCTCTTTTCTCTTTAGGCTTCTCTTTTTAAAAAGTTTTCTCATTCCAACAAGGTATACAATTAATTACAATAAATTAGCATGCACAAATTGTTGAGTTGGCAGCTATGACCACATAAATCGATGAGATGGCATGCAAGGAGTGGATCTAGCCATAATTCATGGTGCTTAATTGACATTAATTTCATATGTTGATATGATAACCTTTTTATGCATTTAATTCTGTATTGTAGGCCTCATGGACAGCATTCAGTCATCTTAGTGGAGCCTGTACCAAAATATTTGGACTGCAGGAATGAGAGGAACGAACTACGATCTACCGCGTCGAGTTCGCATCAGATATACCTAACGTTTCCAGCAGAAAGCACATTCACAGAGGATGATGTTTCCGATTACTTCAAGTACTTTTTTTTTTTTCATCTTCTTATAGTTTCAAATAGTCTGAAAATCTGCCATTGGCCATAATATTTGCTCTTGATATTCTTTTTTGCTAGGCAGTTTGGACCAGTCAAGGATGTCAGAATTCCTTGCCAAGAAAAGAGAATGTTTGGGTTCGTCAGCTTTGTCTATCCTGAAACAGTGAGTAAAATTTTGATGAAACGAGTTTCTCATTATATTTGTGATTCTCGCGTTCTCGTCAAGCCATACAGGGAGAAACTAAGGATGGTTGACAGGTAAACAATCTTACTTCTTTGGAGCCCATAAAAACATTCTTATCTGTAGATACTCGCTCATTTAGAAATTGCTCGGTTAATAATACAGGATTCATACTGAACAGATTAAGTCTCCAATCTGTTATCCTTTGCACTGTGTTGATTTTGATTCGGAACCTCGAGCACGTATGAAAGTCACAGTTCTATTTTTTTTTGTTGTATTTCTTATTAATTTTTAATCCTGCATTAATATTGGTCTTATTACTCAACAGTGCCAAGGGAATTTGAAAGCTCCAGTGCACTTAAAATGCACTTTGAGGAGCAAGATAAGCTGCTAGAACTTGAGAGAATGCGCCTATCGGAGTTCAACTTCAACTATGGTGTTGACAACTTGAAACTCCCAGGTGTGAATATGTTTTTATATGGTGTCTTCTTTTAAGGAAAAAACATAAAGAACATCTATAAGAACAATACTTTTGGTCAAGTCAATGTATTCTTAGCAGCACCTCTCTGCTTTCTATATGCCATTTAGATTTCGTTTGGGACGGCTTTCGTACTGCTTCTTAAAGCGGTTTTTAATACAAAAAAAAATAATTTGTTAACAAAAAAGTTACTTTAAGAAGCAGGAAGAAAGTCTTCCCAAACGAAGCCTTAGCCTAATGATATTTGGTTAAATAATATTTTCTCAGTACATATCCACCTTCAAAAAGGTTAGGTTGCGCAATGCACCAAAAATGCCACACAATGCTTGTGAAATGATGCATTAATCTACTTCTACATGTATGATTTTCTGTTCATTGTGAGTATCCTATCCTTTGTGAAGTGAGAATAGTGATTTGTTTTAAAAATGTTTTTTGTTGATCTGAGAAGCATTGCTTCTCATATATATATTTTTTTCTTTTCTCATTGCTTCTCATATATAAAACTGAGCCCAGTGACAAGAAAGTGATGTGAATCGTCATATCATTTTATGTAGAGATTATTCTGTGTGGTGTCCTAACACGTCCAGCCAATCCGGACACGACACATCACCCAATGCATTGTGCATTGGGTGACGTTGCGCATCCGGATTGGCCTCCACCGCTCGTAATAATTTTTCCTTTTTATGACTTATATCAAATGAATGATGTCAAAAATTTTTTAACTTGTAGGTATAAAGAGCAATTTTTCGTATGAATGCTACCGATTAATCTGAAAGTCTTAAAAATCTCATATAATATAATATTCTTACTATGCATGAAACATGCAATGCCATTAAGGTTTGTTTGGGACGGCTTTCTTACTGCTTCTTAAAGCAACTTTTTTTACAAAAACTAAAATTTTTATAAAAAAAGTTGCTTTAAGAAGCAATAAGAAAGCCATTCCAAACGAAGCCGAAGTCTATTCGTAAGGTCCGAATTTGGAAATGTGAAGCATTATTTTCTTCTTATTTATATGCTTTTCCTTGCAGGTCCAGATGAATTTACACTGGAAGACCATTTCAACTATACCCTTGAAGCTCTAAACATTGACTTTTCTACTGACGACAAAACTAGAAATACAAGCACCAGTTGCAGTAATCTGGAGAGGTAAGAGGAAAATTGCATCCCATACAAAGCATATTGTGAACTCCATACTTACTTTTAGATATATAGGGGAAAATTATTTCTACATCTTCTTGGTTGAACTTGCAATATACCCTTCAAAACCATTATAGATTAAAATACAATTTTTAGCCATGAGCATTAGATGCACTGGCACTACATTAATGATATTTTGAAGTTCATTACTGTTACTTCAACAACAACAAACAACAACATCAACCCTTTATCCTATTACGTGGGGTCGGCTACATGAATCTTTTTTCTCCCTTGTGTCCTATTAAAAGTCAAATTCTCGTTTAAATCTTTGATAAAAAAATTGGTTGCTTCTTAACATCGCTCGTTTTTATTATTGCAGGGGTCAGATTTTGCTCCCCGAGAACCCATTTGCATCACCACAACTGCTAGCAACCAGTATTTCAACAGCCACATAGAGATCAGAGAAGAAAACATGAGAAGACAGAGATCTCCAGAAAACTGAAAGAAAAAAAAAAATACATCCATTACATTCTGATCTAAGCATCAATAATTATCCTTCACAAATAACCCTCCACTGATTACTTGTCCTAAACCAATTACCTTCATACTAAGCAATTACTGATAGTAGTAAACATAAATGGGATACTTCAATAATTATAGCTATATAAATGAATGTTTATATATTCTCTAGAGTAGATGACAATAACAAAAAGCAGATGAGAGTTATGCCATTTGGAAGACTTCTCAGATTAGTCACAATAAAATAAGTCTCTATATCTACAACAGAAGAGAGCTTCTTTACAGGTGAGAAGTTCAGAAAGTAGTTTGTAAGTGATGATACTTTACTTTTTTGACTGTCAATTACTTTGACAAAGGTCCAGTGATTGTCAGTTTCCTTAAACTTTCCTTCTTTGTCACTTAAACACCATCGTCCATCCATTATCATTCTGAGTATCTACTCTTCTTGAAATTATGGTTGCTGATTGTAGTTGATGGGATTTTATACGGCATTTTGTTCCTGAAACTTGCATTTATGTCAACATCTTGTCAAATAAGTTCTAGAGAAGATATTGTTAATAGAAAGAAAGACAAATAAAGGCAAATCAAACTGCATTTGATTGGTACATTATTCAATTTCTACTCTTTAAATCTGGAGGTAAAACCTTCACAACTTCAGATGCTAATGCAGCAATCAACCTTGTCTCTTGTTTGATTTTTTAGAAACTTTCAGCATAAATGGATTGTTTAATAGTATATGAGATATTGCTTTATTTTGGTCACATCCTATAACAGTTCTTTTTTTTATCCTCCTGTGAATCTGGTTTGGCTCTCTACATTCACTTAGTTTGGTGTGCCTTCTCTTCTTGAGTCAATACCTTCAAACTTGCTGATTCCGAGGTTGGAAGCATAAGGTCTTCTTCATGGATAGATTATTCTGTAGTGTCCGAACACATGTAGAGATCAATTCGGACATGCTACGTTACCCAATATATTGTGCATTGGGTGATGTGGCGCATCCTGATTGTTCTCTGGATGCGTTCGTATACCACACGTAATAATTTTTCCTTTATAATGTGGGTCAATTTAAACATTGCTAAAGCACAATCTGTATTGCAAAATAGAAGAAACTTGTACAAACACAGAAATTTTACTATTGGTTGTGAATAATTATAATTCTGATTTTCTCTCGATTTTTAAAGAGAAAAATTAAACCGCCAAAAAGGACAATAATTTTTACTGAAACATTTTTGATGGATTAACCACAAGTATTAGAGATTATTTTGAGGTAGGCTTCTTAAAATCTTTGATGATGTCCTCTTCTCTATGCTTCAGCCTACAAAAGGAAAAATTATTCTGTCCGGATTTCGGGCCCCAATAAAATTGCACCACGTCGGATATCAAGTTTATACCGAGCGGTACTCGGTACTCGCTACCATTCGGTACTTGAGCGTAGACCAAACGGGGTCTTTCGTCTGGTGTCCGTACATAATAATCTCTCCTACAAAAGGCTCTGATCATATTTGCCATAATATAAATAGCTTTAAGAGGATTCAATTTTATAGGTGTTCTCTGTTTGGGCACTTATTTTATTTGTTAGAAAACTTAATTTTTCTTTTATTTTTAAATTTTTTATAATGAGAAATAATTTTTACAATCTTATCTATTAGAGAATGAAAATTATGAGAAAGTTGTTGCCAAATCTTATCATGCTTACAACACATCTTATTTTTTAAAATAAATTTTTAGTTAATTTTATAACATGAATAATATTTTTTAGTTGATAATATAAAATTTTTATCTATTTAATTATATATTATAAATAATTAATTTTTAATTATTTAATTTTACGCATTAATGATATATAATTTATACTGTGAATTTCTTATGCAATTTATTAATGGTGTACAACGGGTCAGATTTGAGTCCAACCCGAGTTGACTCAGATGTAAACAATTTAACTCGTACCTGGCCCATTTAGCTAGACGGGTCAGGATATACAACCCGGACTTAATCCGTGCAAGTTATCGTGTTGACCCGAACCGACCCACGAACCCAAACCAAACTTAATGGGATTTAAAAAAAATAGTTAGACAACATCAATTGGATATATTTTTTGTCTTGTGCGTATACATATTATAACCTCATTGATTGGATGTATTTTTTTGATTAGTTTAATGGAAAATATATACGCATATCCATAAAAAATTCAACGGAATTCAAATAATTTATTAACTATCGTTTAAAACAAATTTACATCATTATTTTTTATTTGATTTCAAAAGATTTTTTTACTAACAAGTTAATTGGATAAACTTGCAGGTTTTCGGGTCATTTCGAACCCAACCCATTTTACAAACGGGTCAAAAATCTGAATCCGAACACAACCCATTTTACAAACAGGTTGACTCGAACTCAGATTTTTTCGGGTCAGGTTTCAGGTCATGCCAATTTTTGACACAACTATAATTTATATGCACAAATTATATCTAAATATGTAACAAAAAATAATAATAATTTTTATTAAATTATATGTTTATATTTATATTAAATTTAGATTAAAAATCAAATTAATTTTAAAATTCTAGAAAATAGTATGCATCAATTCTATTTTTTCAATCACAAAATTATATGATTATACAATTATTACATAATTATTAAATCATTCAAAATTTATTTAAATAACTTTAATATTTATTATATCATCCAATTTAACCTTGATCGAAGCACCGAACTTAAACATCTTATTCTTATTCTTCAAATTCGATGTCTGATCTAATTTTCACAACCTTTTTTCAAAAATGGCCTTTAAAGCTCTACATAAACAAAAATTATCACCTCTAAAAAATTTACCTCACTTCTTTCAGAGGACATTTCATCTAAATAGCACAATTAACTAGCAGAGAAATAAAAATATTCCTTCTGAATTTCATTTCAAGAGATAGATAGCAAGGTAGAAATTGATCGAACCATATTTGGGTAAAATTCGCATAGCAGAGCTGAGCTTCCCCCTTTCCATTCAAAATTGCAGATATCTGCTTCTGTCAAAATTTGATCCTCAAACTGGCATTGAACGTCAAAAATGGCAACAATTGATCTCAGCTTCTGCCAAAAACAGCCTATGAACAATTTAGCAGAGAATATAAGTAAAAAATCTCTACTGACCTTATTGTATATGTGCTTAACCAGATCAAATAATATATCTTAAAGAGGCTGTGGATCATCTTCTTCTGTCATACTTGTTTGCCAAGTCTGAGAGCAGTAAACTCTGCCTGAAAGCCAAATATATGTCTAAGCTTGTGCCAGCCCATTGTTGACAAAAACATTCATCAGTAGGAACAAATGTGCTCAGAGGAAATGGCCCCTTTGGAGCTTTTTTAAGTGAAACCAGAAAGCGATGCCGAGGTCGAATCCTCTGATTCAAAGACAAGCTCAAGTACGTTGGATATTTGATCAAGGACTGCACCTCATTGTGAAGCTCATTTACAAGATAAAGATACTTGGGTTTCAAGTTTTCCTCCAGTGATAAGGACAGAACCTGCAAGAGTAACAATTTGATCAAGGGATATTTTTCCAAGTAATATGATGCAGATAAAGGCTTCATCTGGGACGGCTTTCTTGCTGCTTCTTAAAGCAATAGTTTAGTATAAAAAATTTAATTTTTGAATTAGAAAGTTGTTTTAAGAAGCAATAAAAAAGCTGTCCCAAACGAAGCCAAAGCATGAGAGGATAGAGGGGGTAAAGAAAAGAATTACTTGTGCGAGACTTGTTAATACTTTCACAATATCAGAATTGCACATCCCTATGCTCCTTAGAAAGTTGATTCTAGGCAATATTCCATCTTCTATGCTATAATGTAGGAGCTGGGGATGCTTTGTGACCATCTTTACTATGTTATCCCTTGGAGCTCCTAATTCTTTTGACAGAAAATTTGAACGGGTAGTCCATGAATTATCAACTCTCTGGACTAGAACATGAGGGCTGAGTTGTACAACTTTACTAACTTCTGATCCCTTAATTCCAACTTCTTCAACCAAGTATCTGATTTTAGGTTTGAGAGAATGTTCAATGCTGTAAGAAAACAGAGATGGAGTGGCAGTAATAATCTGTCCGATTCGAGAACTTGGAACTCCTATACTTAGTAAGAAACGAACATGGGACATCATATTGTTTTCAACTGTGTATTCCAAAATTTGGGGCTGCCTTACAAGTATCCTTTTAATATCTCTGCGTTTGACGCCGACCGCAATCAAAAAGGTTAATCTTTCCTTTGCAGAAGTTAGGTTCATCTGAAGGGATGCCACATGTCTCTCATAAATGGAAATGAAGTGAGATTCCTTTAGTCCAAATGTGCTCAAGTAATCAATCAAAGGAAACCATCTCTCATCAAAGTCTAGTTCTTCTATTAATTTCTGGAACTTGCTCTTGGTGAAACTTCCACAATTTTGCTATAAAATAAGAAAAGGTGAGAATGTTTGAGCTTTTCAATCTCAATCAAGATGAGTTAAAAGGAACTATAGAAATCGTTTACTGATCGAAAAGGACAAACCTGGTCCTCACTATCACAATCAACAGGACTCTTTTTTGAGTACCTTTCCATGGAAGAATTATAGCCTTGAAAATTTGTTTTCTGCTGAATGGTTTTACCAGACTTAGATTTAATGGAGCCAGGAGCCAGATTCTTGGTTTGTCTCACTTGTACTAATCCAGCTTCGCAACCTTTTTGAGGTGATATCTTGATTCCTGCATTAGTAGAATTATGCTGAAAGGCCTATCAAAGCCGAATTCCTTGAATCCAACTTGTATATTTTTCAGATACCTTTAGCATCATTTATGGCATTAGAATTTAAATTTGATCTCTTTTTAGTGGAATATTGGTTGCTGCCAAACTCATCAAACTCTGCAACGTCATTCTGTAAGAACTATCCAGAATAAAAGAGTGTTTCTGAAATCATAACAGGCAATCTAAAATGTAAATTTGATTTTAAGGCTAAAATTCATTTTATTGGACAAGGGTAGAGTGTCTTTATCATTCAGAGCAAAGGAAGCAATCATAAAATTTGAATGAGGCTAGCAGTAAACTCAACCTAAGCATGAGAGTAAAAGAGCCATTATAATTTGCCAAGCATGACATCCTGCCTTGATTCTAGCTAAATAAACCCAAGATCTCAAAAACATGCACTTCCAGATTAGAGCCAAATGTCATGAATGACCTGATTACATGCAAGAGTTAATCTTGAAATACTAGCCACAACCTATTCGTTAAGGATCTATAAAAAAAAAAGTTAGGTTGAATGTTCTGTTTTTTTTTTTTTTTTTTGATAAATTCCAAAGAGGAGCCTATGCATTTAAAAAAAGGGGAATAACAAGTCCTTAAAGATCCATAAGCTCATCTAAAAATACAATCTTTACAATAAATCTGAGAGCTATTGGATCTACAAATTATAATTAAAAAAGAGGATAAACAAAAAATCAAAACCAGCCCAAGGACCGAACCAACCAAAAGGGCAGCAACCTGCATCCAGCAAATCCAAGGAGTTCGACAGCAAGCAAGAAACCCACCATAAGCCCAACAGTCAAAATACCATCCAAATCCAAATGGCACCACAACAGCAACCTGCACTTTCACACAACCCAAAACCCCAAGGCCAAAAGCAACAACAACCACCAAGCAAGAATGTTCTGTTTATTTATCTATGGACTTAAATGCCATTAGGGTTAGGCCTTTTTTACTCAATGAAGTGTTAAGATATGCACAAATTTAAATGGGAATTTTTAAGGATATTGTTATTATTATTATTATTATTATTATTGATAAATTCAAGTTGAAAAGCTTGTTAGATACTTCTCTCTCTCTCGCTATCCTAGGACTCTATGGACGACCTATGCTCCAATAAATTTTCCAGCAATCTAGATACTTGTCACATGGTAATCAGATACTAGTTAGATCAAGATGGCTATTGAGTGTTGCATCAAGATTTAATTTCAGGTTATGCAAGTATTTTTGCAAACTTATAGTCATGACACAATCAAATTATCTGGGCCAAATTTATGAATGTTATAAAGAAATCATGATCGTTGGATAGTAAAGACAGTTTTAGGCACTTGATATGGTAGATGAAAATGGGCTATTTATTCATGCATCATTTAAAGCCGATCATGCTATGCAATTCTTATAGTAAAAGTAACAATCCACCACAACACAAATGTGAAAAGCATAAGTTTAATTGGACATAATCTTCAATTAAACTCTTTTTCTCCAAAAAAAATATTATAAAATATTTGCTCAACACAGTTTATAATGTAAGTTACCGATGGTAATACATGATATAATATCTTCTCTAGAACAGACGAGCAAAATCAAGATCTTAAGGATATTACAATAGAGCTTAGGGCCATAAGAGAACATGCTCATAAGAGAGATTGAGAAATCAAAGAACACGTCCCATTACTAAAATTGCATGCATTAGATGATCATGCAAGAAAAATCCCTCGAAATTGCAATTCTCATCCAGGACTTGGGACCTGGCAACGGCAGTGTTACAAGTTTTACATGCATTAGATGATACATGCAAGAAAAATCCCTCGAAATTGCAAGAAAAAACCTCCTAGAACTATAACATTTAAACAAAAAAAAGGTCAAGTACCAAAGCCAATCACCACAAGAAAATTATCATGAATAAAATGCTTGGATCAAAGAGAGAGATAAAAGAACAAAGATAGATAGCTCAAAGTAATCTGAGCTACATGAACTAGAAAAGGTCAACATGGAGCACCTAAACTAAAAAAGATCCTTATACTTGATGAACAAAGAGCATCAATAAATGAGAAAAGAGAATGCACCATATAAAATAGGCACATCCAAAAGTTGCCAAATAACCAAACCCAAGACCAAGAGCATGGAGCAAATCATCAGATTTTGAAGGTTGACATTTTCATTTTTGGGAACTTAAGAGAGAATTTATATTCTAGTAATAAATAAAGTTTTTATAATTATCTATAATCAGAATTAATCTAAAAATCGTTAAGTCCCATAAATAGCATATAGACGCTCCTCCTAAGACTCGTGATTCCTAGATGCTAGTAATTCAACCCCAGTCATCACAACAATAATTTATCCAATAAATTGCTTTAGAGGATGAATACTAAGCATACTGGTTACAATATTAACGATTAGATCAGTGGAAGAAAGCTATAAAAAGGGGACCAAGCTCCTTCCAACCAACAACTGGATGCTTCTTAATGCCCAACCAAATTTGGAGGGCTTTCCACAACAGGGAGCTTCGGATTGATCCAAACGGGAGCAGAAGGAGAGGTCTATTTCAACGATCAACATAGCAAGATCTATAAAAGAACAATCTTCAGTGGTCATCCACCAGCCAAACTCTAATAAGATTATGCTTAAAATCAAGAAGACTAAAGAACTAAAAGGTCAAATTCAGCGAAGAACTTCCTAATGCCATAAAGCTCCGACCATTTCACGTTCCAAACACTGAAATAAAAAGAAAAAAATGCAAATAATCTCCCGCGCAAGCCTAAGCAAAAACTCTTCATACCGTCAATAAAGAAAAAGCACTAGTCTTACCAATTACAGTAAACAACGCTATCCCACCACTACTGAATCATTAGACTTCTCGCAAGTTCAGTTTTTTACCGCTAATTCCAAACTAAAACAACGACACAGCAGAACAATAGTCCAAATTCCAAATAAAAAAGGCACTCACATCAATTATCTCGTATTCCTCCTCTTCGCTCTCCTCCTCTTCCACCTCCTCATCTTCATTCGCATAAGTCGAGGCTCGCCGACCCAGCCGCGGTCGCCGGTTGGGCTTGAGGATGCGAGCGCTGGAATGCGCCGAGCAGACCGTAACTCCATTGCCGCCATCGCGCCGACCGGAAGATACAACCCGCCATCGATGCGATTGGACGGAGAAGAAGGGACAAGCGGAGCTGGAACTAAGGGAGAGGAACATCCGCGCGCTATAGGGGTTATCCCTTGGCGCTTTTGACGTAGATGAGATGGATTACCCTCCGCTATCCGCTCCTTGCTCGCACGCACTCGCAGCGACGAAAGAGAATGTCTCCGCTCCCACGTCCACTCATCCTTATCCGCTTCAAGATTTCAACATCATTCAGTTCATTCTTGAACGTCTTTCAGTAATTGCTGCTCTAACATCTCGTGAAACTTACGTTGGATTTTGATCGGGTAAAGACTTATAATGGGAAGTTTTTTGTGAGGCTCATAAAAATTTAAAATTTTTGAATTTCTATCGAAAGCAGTAAAATACAATGATAGAATGTTCTATAACACCCCCGGCACTAAAGCTCCAGTAATAGAGGAAAACAAATTAATGACGATAATATATATATATAAACTTAAGACATGTTTGAAAAGTTATAAGCAAATTTTCATATACGTATTCAAAAAATCTGATTTCATATGCCTATAATAATAGAAATTTGAAAAAATATCTGCTATTTATTTTCTTGAGAAAATATGCTTTAAAGTTTATTTTGTACTAAGTTATTTATTATTATTATTATTATTATTATTATTTTGAAACGGGATATCTACCTGTTATCACTCTAAAAAAAGTGTTTGACGGTATAACTAATCATTCGGCGGAATCTAGCGGAGCAACCCACCGACATCAGACCCACACTTGCTTTACTCCACTGAAGAGACGATGTCATAATAGAGGAAATTCGAACCTATGATAGAGGGTTCCCACCATGCTCGCCCACCAACCGCCCTAAGGCTCGATGAGTTTTTTTTTTGCATCGGTAGACTACTTATTAAAGCTATTACATGGATCAAACTTGTGTCGACGAAGTCGCTAAAACAAGTATTACAGGATCCTGATGTACAGTGATCGGAGTTTATGAGGGGAACATGGGCAAGATCAACAAAGATCATTGGGGTTGATATCACGTTACGAGAGTCCTTTAGGTACTTGCAAATAAGTTTGAAAGAATTTCAAACAAGATTTCATTCTAACAATCAATATAGGCTCTATTAACATCTATCATTATATCATGCCTTAAAAGAGAGATCATTTAACAATAACATCATTAAAAATACATATATCATGCTTACAAAAGAGATGAAATACCAAAATAACATTGAGCCCACATTCCTACGAGAAATTATTCTGTGCGGAGACAATGTCGTCCGGAGACCAATTAGAATGCGCCACGTTAGCAGTACCGAGCCGTGGTACCGAGCAAGACGTGACGTGGCACATTCTGCTTGATCTCCGAACAGCTTTCGGCATCCACACAGAATAATTTTTCCATTCCTGCACACCCTAAAACACCTCATAACATTGAGCCAATCATCAAGGAATGCAAACCACCTGCTAAACATATAATATAATGACATGGAAGTTAAATAAGAACATAAAATTACCAAAAGTTTCGCAACAATGCTTAGAGGACCATCCACAGGTGATGTTGGTTAGAGGACCGTTGTGGGCTCCGAAAATTCGGCCCCGGCCTCCCCGCCGCGTGATTTCTTTTTATTTGAGCGAGGGAGTTTTAACGAACTAAGTTCCGAGGTAAATTTTGGAAGGCAGATGAGTTTGTAGATAAGACACTACCCAGAGATTTCGCCCTCATTTTGTGAGGACTTTATGATCTGAGTTCTGGTTTCCTATAGGCGCAAGCCCCTATAGTTAATTACCCCTCCCGATCACTTAATTTCAATTTGGATTTCCCTCTAAATCCACTAAAATCTGAAATTAATTTCAGATTTTGGGATTAAACCTTTGGATCTCTCTTGGAAACCGCCGGCCCCTCTTTCTCCTGCTCCCGCCGCCCCCTCGTCTTGCTTCTCCTTGTGATCCGTGAAGTCAAAGAAGAAGAAGACTACGCCGCCCCTCTCCGCGTAAATGACGCATGGTGGATCCTGAGCTTGATAGCGGATTCGTGTATGACATCTACGACGACATTCACATCACCCGTTTGCAATTCTTCGACGTTGGATTTGGATTTGACGACACTATTGAGGACTATCTAAATCGCATTTTGCCTACTCTCGTGGACGTCATAGACGACCAATTTCAAGACTACGATTGGATCCTCCCAAGGTCATCCATCCCCGCCATCTCCGCCACCGCCGACCTTTCCGTGGATCAAGGCCATTGGTATTGCTACCGTCCTCGTGGCATCGTTGGGTGTGCTGAAGACCTTTTTTCGCTAAGCCTAGTGTAGTTGAGTGATCCATCCCCAAGGTGAAAACTCTCTTTATTAAGTTGCGGACTGTTGATTAATAGCTTTTGATATTGCTACTATCTTTAGTTACCTAGGAGTTTTAGCTAATCTACATGTACTTCCTCGCCTAAGCTAGTTGAAAACTAAGATTCTTTGATGAACTTGCTTGTTATTTCAATAAGTTATTAATTGGTAATTCATTGTCAACTATTCTTAAAATTTCTTAAATGAGCTCCTGCGCATGTTGGTTTCACATCACATTTCCTCAATAAAACATATCTCTAATTTAAAGGATTATGAGATATAAAAAAAAAATCAAAATTTCATATTTTGAGACAATTGTCAATCAAAAGAAAATATTCATTTAGCTAATTTTTTTCCTTTTCTAAGCCCTTAACTATCCTCCATACATGTGTTCTGAGAAATAATTAATCTTCTTATATCCCCAGCCATGAAGGAGTCATCACTGGGAAAAATTTAGGGTCCTCCCACCTGACGTAGATATGCGTCCTCCCACCGCCAAAAAATTCGATTTTTGCTCGGTATTGCTAGGTATTATTTGATAATAACGAGGAATATCATCATGTGAAGATCAATACCGAGCTATACCAAGCAATACCGAGCTATACAAAAACATACCGAGTTTTTTCTAAGAAAAACTAAGTATTTTTTTTGTATTGCTCGGTATTGCTCGATATAGCTCGGTATAACTCGGTATTGGTCTTCACATGATGATATTCCTCGTTATTGCTTGGTATTGCTCGGTATTTGCTTGGTATTTCTCGTTTTTTAGCGCGATTTTAGCTCTGGGAGGACGCATCTCTACGTCAGATGGGAGGACCTAATAATTTTTCTTAAGAGCCATTTGGGGCTTTATCCTCGCTACAGCTAGCAATGTAAGAACATTGGCAGGGTGGTATCATTGCATTTAGGGTCATTAATAAACAATCAATCAAACATTAATTATGGCAGCAAATCAATATAGGCTCTATTAACGTTTATCATTATATCATGCCTTAAAGGGAGATAATTTAACAATAACATCATTAAAAAATGCATATAATCATGTTTACAAAAGAGATGAAATACCAAAATAACTTTGTGCCCACATTCCTACAAGAAATTATTCTGTGCAGAGACAACGTCGTCCGGAGACCAATCAGAATGCGCCACGTTAGCAGTACCGAGCCGTGGTACCGAGCAAGAGGTGACGTGACGCATTCTGCTTGATCTCCGAACAGCTTTCGGTGTCCGCACAGAATAATTTTTCCATTCCTACACACCCTAAAACACCTCACAACGTTGAGCCAATCATCGTAGGAATGCAAACCACCTGCTAAACATATAATATAATGACATGGAAGTTAAATAAGAACATAAAATTACCAAAAATTTTGCAAAAAGATTGTCGGTAAACTATAAAAAAAAAAAAAAAATTGTGAAATAAAGACAACAGACTGTTTTGAACGAGCTTCTTCATTTAGATGATTGACAACAATAAACCCAACAATTAGTCTGCATCCAATAAAATGCTTGTTCATGGTTGCCATAAAAAAAGGATAGGCATACAGTTAAAATTACTACGTTAAGCTCACTAAATGGCTAAGAATTTAATTTACATGGTTGAAAATAACTCATTGAAAATGAGTCTTCATTATCATCTGTATCATGATGCCGGTTGCAAGGCGTTATTACAAACATCATTGATCTTCTCATGTGTATTGAACAGTGGGCCATTACATTCGTCACATATCAAAATTTTAGTTCTTGCAAGATATCCGTCACACCAATTGTATGACACTTTATTTGTGAAACAAGTGTTGTGCATCTTATGAATTTTCTTGCACCACTATACTTGTATTCATTACAACTCTTCCACCATCATTTGCAAATATATTGCATTTCTTACATGTGACCACTTGGTTAATTATCATGATCATTGAGAGCGTCATGATGTTCTTTATAATTTCATCATTATTTGTAAATGGGTGAAGCTTATAATCCCTTGGTTCACAAGTCTCATATATCTTCCCTTGCATTTGATTTGGAATTTGCTATCTTACAAATGATAATTTCATTTGGAGCATTATATCATTCTTAATATGTTTCAATCTGCAATTTTTTATATTCATTATCATTTTTTATTCGAATTCAAATTTGATTTAGGCTCAATTTTATGTTCAATTTATTGTCCAAATCAAGTCCCCTGCTGTCCGAAAATGAGTCCACTGTTGTCCAAATAATGTTCAAGTCCTTGTCTTTTTCAGACAAAATTTCGGCACCCTCCCGGCGTCTCCCCCGTTTAGGGGAAAAACCAAGAGGCCGCCTACCCGCCACGCCACCAAAGGCGTGCACGGTTGGTGTTTGTAAGACACCGCGGCGGTTGTATTATTTATTTTTTTCTCCCACCACAGCCAACAAAGGCGTGCATAGGATTTTAAAAAGCATTTTTGAAAAAGCAGTTTGATTTCCCCCCGCTCGGGGGTACTTATGAGCGACCCCGCCTCGCCGTAGGTGCCGCACCGGGGTCCCATCCCACCACGCGCACCAAAGGCGTGCTTGGGGCGGTTTTCCGGTTCGCCACGAACATTGAAGTAGGGTTTGAGGCGATTACCCGCCTCGTCGTAGGCGCTGCACCGGGGTCTCATCCCACCACGCGCACCAAAGGCGTGCTTGGGGCGGTTTTCCGGTCCGCCGCTAACTCCGAGGACAAGAATCTAAGTTTAGGAAATTCGTACCTTCGCGGGGTTGGTGAAGTCGTCGAGATGCACAAAATAAAACAAATTTCCCTTTTTTTTTTTGTACAAATCTCTCTCTCTTTTTTTTTCTTTTCTCTCTTTTCTCCTTTTTTTTTTTGAAATATGCACACATATATACATGTGACAATGGTTGAGA